TTATTGGATACAGGTAGCTGAGTAAGGCATCCATAGGTTAAATGGTTTGCCAGAGGCCACCCAGCATGTGTGTGGTTGAGCCAGATTTAGAACACAGTTCTAATTAGCTCCTAATTTCCAGTGTTGTGCTGAGGCAAACCGTATTGTGCACACACACTGATTCTACTCAGTTCACTTTGTCAGAGGAAGGTACTCTTCATATTTTTACCTGTTTGAATGTGTTATTATTTTTAATTTTTAACTTCTAAACCAGCTGAGGGAAGCTACTAAGAAGTGTTTAGTTATAGAGACTAAACTTGACATTAGACCCTTGTGTTATAGCGAATTTGAGGGCTATACATCCTAGGAAAAGGTGAAATTCCGAAAAGAGAAAGGTTGGAAAATGGAACCTAAAAGGATGAAGATATAGAGATTATATAGGAGGTAAATAAAGCACCATGCCTGCTCTCAAGGAGCTCAGAGTATAGCGTGGGATTGAGAGAGATTGTTGATCATTTCAGCACAATGTGGTAAACCCAGGGTGCTATGAGAGCCTCAGCGGTTTGGAAGGCTCCTCAGCTTGAACCAAAGTATGGAGGAGTGAAATGATAAGGTGAGTTGGTCAGGCACTACCAATTGGAGAGGTGGATAGGTTATGAAGGGCCATGAATGTCACGCAAAGGAATAAGAATGCATTCATTCAACACATGTCTATTTAGTGCCTTTTTGTGTGTCAGGCACTATTCAACGTACTTGGGATACCTTAGTGAACAAAACGAGCATAAAATTCCTGCCCTCGGGGATCTTACATTTTAATGGGGAGAGAGAAACACTAAACATTAAATAATAAGTAAATTAAGTAAATATTAGAAGATGGTAAATGCTAAGGAAAAAGGGTCCAGCCAGCTGATCAAGGTTAACATGAACAGTAGTAAGTCATGTTGATAGTATCTACCCTTGATATGATATGATGAGAATGGCACTTTACCTCTGTAGTTTTTCTCCCCAGAATATATAGCCCTAGTCTAATCATGAGGAAAACAAGCAAATCCCAGTTGAGGGCCAGTCTATAAAATACCTGACCAATACTCCTCCAAACTGTCAAGGTCATCAAAAACTAGTAAAGTCTGAGAAACTGTCACAGCCAAGAGGAGGTTAAGGAGACATGACAACTAAATGTCATGTGGTATCCTAGATAGGATCCTGGAACAGAAAAAGGATATTAGGAAAAATTGAGGAAATCTGAATAAAGTATGAACTTTAGTTAATAACAATGTATCAGTATTGGTTCATTAATTGTGACAAATGTACCATAGTAATGTAACATCTTACATTACTTACATCTTAGAATCTGGATCACTAAAGAATGCTTCCCCGAGGAAGTGATGAGTCCTGATTATTGGTTGCTGTGTGACAAACTACTCCCAAAGTTAGAGTCTTCAAACAGTTTTTTTCGTCATGGTTCTGGGTTAACTGGGCTCATCTGGGCAATTCTCACTTGAGGTCTCTTATGAGTTGCAGTTAGATACTGACTGGGCTGGAATCAGCTGAGAGCTCAACTGGTCTGTCATCCAAGATAGCTTCTTCACTCACATGTCTGGTGCCTCCATGCTTCAACTTGTGCCCTCTCTCTCCAGCAGAGTAGCCTGGACTTCCTATATATTGGCTTAGAGCTTCAAGAGATAGGGAGAGGAAGCTGCCAGGCCAGTTAAGGGCTACACCTCAGATGGGCACAGCATCATTTCTGCCACACTCTGCTGATCAAAACATCACAAGTCCTGCCCAGATTCAAGGGAGTGGAAAAATAAACTCACTTCTTGATGGAGGAGTAGCAAGTTCTCATTGCAGAAAAGCATGTGGGATAGGAGATATGGTTGTGGCCATCTGTAGAGAATACAGGTCTGTCACCTGATGTTAGTTTGAAACCTGAAGGATAATTAGGTATTAGATAGGCAAAAGAGAGGGGAGAGGGTAACTCCTCAACAATTGGAACAGCATGTGGCCAGGCCTGGAGGTCAGCCTGTGTGACTGAGTGGAGGAACAAAGAGAAACAAAGAGAGGAAGAGTGGCATGAAAGTGCTGGGTCGTATAGTGAAGAGTAGGAATTTTCGGAGTATGACTAGGAAGGGTAAATACATATTTACATCAGAAAGCAACGAGAATAGCTGTGTATGTTCCAAATAGAGGCAATGGAAAGCACTAATAGTGAAAATCAAAATTGCTAGAATAGGAAGTACAGATTAGCCCAGAGGACGTGGGACGTGGGATGGAGTGGGGTGGGTCAGGGAAATATTACTCCAAATCACATAGCTAGTATGAGACAGAATTGGGATTTGAACCTAGATCTGATTCTAGATCCACTAGATTGCTCTATATGACTCCACTATATTGCTCACCACACTGCCTGTGGAAAGTCATTTTATATAATAAACTTGAAAATCCCTTGCTAACCAACAAGTAATTTGCTCTTCCTAATTTCTTCCTAGCCATCCAGGCAAATACCTTCTAAGTTTTCTAGGCTCAACTCAAAGGGCACCTCATTTTGAAGATTTTCTTAATATCTCCCTCACCTCCACTGACAATTGACCCCTCCCTTCTTCCCCGACCAAATCTGTTTCCATCCTCTATCAAGGCAGTTTTTTGGATTTGTTTTCTTACCTGGATCATCATGAAAGACTGTGAGCCTTTTTAGGGCAAGAGCTCTGTCTTATTCATTGTTATATCTTTAGTGTCTTGTGTCTGGTGTGACCTTAATAAATGATGAATGGATGGGTAGATGAGTGGTTTCCGGAATCCCTTGTTAAACAGCATTGAAACAGTTCTAAAGTTGAATTGTTACTGCCCTTTAATGATTAAATGAGGCAATGCATACAAAGTGTCCATGGGACCTCGTAATCTCTCAGGGCCTCAGTGTCCTTTTCTGTGAAAGGTTGGGGTTGAAGGATGATCTCAAAGGTCCCTTCCTTGTCTAATAGTCTATAGTTTTAGAACTTGTGGGATAGAAGTGTTCCACAAGCCAGCAGTGCTAGCCATCAGTGGTTATGTGCTTCCAACCAGCCTGCAAATACCCAAGCAGAGGGCACAGACAGTATATATTCCTAGACATTTTGTTTGAAGGTATTTACTCTCTTTCTAGTATGATTAAAGATTGAATTTTAAGTGCTGAGTAAGAAAATGAATATTCATAGTATAATCTTATATGAATAACTTAGTGCTCTGCATCTTGGTGCCTCTTCCATTTCTACATTGTTTATTATGTTCATTTGAAATTTTAGTAAAGAAAGAACTAAAAGTTTTACGATTTATTTTGTGTTTCTTTTTCTTAGCCTCTGGTGTACAAGACGAAACTGAAAAATCCCATTTCTAAATTACAGAAGTAGTGAAAACCCTGTTGCATAATTCAAGAGGCTCAAGGCCTAACTGTCGACACAGAAGGAAAGAAAAACCATATTTGCAGCTAGAAAAATATTATAACTGATGTTTATTTCTAAAAATCAATCTGTGCCTTGCTTCATGAGTGCTAGCATAATAAATATCAGAATATAAAAAGTGGACAAACTCATAGTCATTATCACTTTACAAAAAGTTAACCACAAAGTTCCTGTGAACTGCAAACCTCCTTGATACATTTAAAATAAGGGCTGTAGGGGCCAGCCCGGTGGCGCAAGCGGTTAAGTGCGCGTGCTCCGCTGCAGCGGCCCGGGGTTCGCTGGTTCTGATCCTGGGCACTCACTGATGGACCGCTTGGCAAGCCATGCTGTGGCGGCATCCCATATAAAGTGGAGGAAGATAGGCACGGGTGTTAGCCCAGGACCAGTCTTCCTCAACAAAAAAAAGAGGAAGCTTGGCAGATGTTAGCACAGGGCTGATCTTCCTCACACAAAAAAAATAAATAAATAAGGGCTGTATATACTAGTTTTATTTATATACATTAAGCAGTATAGATTGGTGCTGTTGATTTAAATGTAATGGTTTAATGACCAAAGTGCTAAAAATGATTTTAATTAACCATAAAACTTGTACAGTCTTTAAAAAGAAGGCACATCTATGTACCGTTGTAGTAACATGCAAAAGTGTTGCTAATTGCCTAGTTTTACCTATTTATAAGTATTTAAGGAAAAAAAAGCCCTTGCCTAGTTGTTTTGTTTTTTGGTAAAGATACAAAGGTATATGTGGCTGTTGAGCACATGAAATGTAGGTAGTGTGACTGAGGAACTTTATTTGATTTTAACAAATTTAAATTTAAATAGCCACGTATGGCTAATGTCTACCGTATTGGATAGCATCACTGTCAAGGTCTGCTCTAATTCAGCCTGGCCTTGGAGATCTAGTGTTTCCCAGAAAGAGTGGGTTAGTGCTCTTATAGAATTCTTTCTGCCCAGCCCCAAGGCTGGACTTGTATTCCTGGGCCAGTTCCTAAAGCCTCAGGGAGTTTGGAGCCTGAAGCCTTTTTCCAAGATGACTGGAGGAATTCTGCAGTCCAGAGTCATCATTAGGCATCACATGATCTACGGCTGAGAAGTACAAGCACAGTAACATTCGGGTTTAACAAAAGGGTGGAGCCTCCCTCTCTGCTTCTTCTTTGTGCCTTTAAGTCCAACAACTCATCAGAGCTTTCAAGCTTTGTGAAAGGACTCATGCATATATGACTTGCAGACTGATTACGATATAGGCCCAGTCACAGAATTCTTAGTCTTTTTTGCTAACTATTTTAGGTCAACTATCACAGAGATTTACCAGGGCAGTCTTTTCACAACTGCTCTCAAAGGCTTCTCTGTGTGAGTAAAAGCTATTGTCTTTAGTTCCCCTTATCAAGTGTTCCACCCTGCTCTGTGTAAGCTCTAGTACAAAGCGGGTAGTGACGTGTTCTCTTGACAGTGGAATTTCTGTGTAGGTGTTGTTCACCTTTCCGCATGACTGCCATAGAAGAGATGTAAAGATGGGGAAGTGACTGGGAAGATTCATGGACTGTAGAATACAATGAACCATGTGCCAATGTTGTCCTGTTTATTTTCTTCCAGGAAATTAAGGCTTGCAGTGGCATTGCTTTGACAAGCACTTTCTGTTGTCTTTACACAGATCACAATGAAGAAGAACCTCAAAGGAATGTTTGTCTCCCCATACCTTTGTTAATGACCATTAGCAGCTAGCGGATGCTTATAATGACCAAGAAAACATCCACCACGTTTGTGCTTGGCCTGCTCCAGGCAGCCAAATGAAGGTTTCTTCCAGTTGTTTCCAGAACTCTATTGCTGAAGCCCCTCTCTTTGTTGGTTGAATGTTCATGAAGCCCTTTCCTGAACCAGCTTAGGAGGCTTACGCCTCTTGGAGCCTGTGACATGGAAGCTTTGGAAGTAGATGATATTAGCCCCGCCTTGGAAGTTACTGAAGATTTCTTTAGTACTTTTGACAGTAAGTTAGAAAAGGCTGTGCAGCAAGCAGAAGTTTATGGGATTCAAGAAGTCCCTGAACTGGTGGGGCACGAGATATTCAGTAACGTAACAGACAATGGTGCTATCAGAAATGTTGCCTCCCTGGGCAAAAGGGGCATGATTTGGGACCCCTGTAAGAGCAGGCTCTTAGAAACCAAAGTTCAAAATGTCTTTCCTGCCAAAGAACAGTTTATGGTCCAGAAAGGGACAACCCCAGATAATCTATCCTGGATGGAACAAAAGGAAGCGTCAACCTTTAATTTTTTCAACATCTGTCAGCGCCGGAGGGACAGACCTCGTTCTGTGAATGACTTATTGGATGAGACCTCTACTTTCAAGCCTGGGCATGCTCGATCGAGGTCAGATATTACCCAAGTGGACTGGAGGGTAGTCCTCAAAACCATGCCTTTGCAGCAGCAGGAGCAGCAGCAGCAGCCGTCTCTTCAGGGTCCTCACTTCACCAGGCCATCTTTTCTGACGCCCTCACCAAATAAGGTAGAAGATGCTCAAGGAAATACTGGTATGTTTTTATATCTGACTGCTAATGAACAATTGTTGATTTTCCTTTGTTTCTCTTCTGTTTACCTCATGAGAATCTGACTCTCCCATAACCATGTCTGGCTTCGCTCACTTAAGCTCCTTCTTCCATTTACTTCCGTGCTTTACCTCGAGTCTATAGTCTTACTATCTTCGTAGCAGGTGCTAAGTGAAAGACAACTATGGTTAAATTTTCACTTTCTAATCTTGTATGTTAGAATCAGAATATTTTCACAATTAATGTGGTATTTTCCTTTGAACAGTGTATGACACTCTTATTCACATCAGTAGATGTTCATTGGATGACACAGTGGGCTTAGCCTTGTGCTGTGCAGGATTTAAAGACATATGAAGATGATCCCTGCCCTAAAGAACTTCTCATTTAGCTGAGGGGATCAGACACTACCAAAGACTCAAGAAGCCACCCAGTATTGAGAGAAAGTAGATGGTCAACTGAAATGTTGGTGAGGGAACTTCAGTTTTACTCTACATTGTTGAGATTTTTTTCAATGAGTGAGTGACAGAGACTAAGAAGATAGAGGAAAGAGGAGACACTTTGGGCTGGGCTTGTCAGGAAGGGCTTGTGAAAGGTCATGGAACTTGAGCTGGACCTTGAAGGACGTGAAGATGCAGAAAGAGGGTCATAGTAGAGGACACTCTGTCAGGATTATGGTGTGAACAAAGGTGAGGAGATGCAAGGTGCAGAGGAGAGCAAGTTGAGCTTTGTGAGGAGAGCAAAGGATCCCATGGTGAGTAGTAGAAGGAAAATGTTGGAGAGCTTGGTTCAGACCTCATGGTGTAGGGTCTTGAATTTCTTTTTTACTCGTACTTTATACACATACATGTGCATATGAATATGTACTCATGTACTCACACATGAACTTTCTCTTCTGTGAGACATGACAAACCATCTCTTCGTTTCTCCTAGCATTTTCCTTCAAGATAACCTCATTTGTACAGACTATCCATTTTTATTACTGATGATGCTTCAATCACCCTACTCAACCTTTAATTTAGATGGCTTCTCCTCAATTAACTGAGCAGACTATTTTATGTACTTCACTGCTATTTTAGTGTTACTTCAATCTCTAATCATTGCTTGGTATTCCATTGATACATTTAACATTTTAATTAATAAAATTTAGTTTCTAAGTATAACTTGAGGCAAGGATATAGTTTAGTATATCTATTAAGGAAATACAGTATTCTTGTCTGTGAGGTGCTGCATTATTTCTCCATCGGGTTCAAATCCATCCTTCTAAAATACTTTGCTTTTCCCCAATCAAATTCATGACTTGTAATTCCTCGTCTTTTCTACTAGACTTTCACCAGTCCTCTCTAACATCTAGCCCAGGGTGGTGACCATGAGAGTAAAAAGAAAAGGAATATTAGAAAGCACAGGACTTGGTAACTGATTGGCTGTTAGGGGACAAACAAGTTACTGTCACCCCTGGAGCCTGACAGAATGAGAGCTTTGCCTTGAGCTCATGTACAAACAGGTGCACTTGTTGATTAGCAAATAACCTCAATTGTTTTTTGGTTTCTTGGAGTTCGCATTGATTTTTATTACTAAACTATCATAACCATTCTAAATCCCTGACATAAGCGAAGTTAGGAGGGTGTATGTTTCCAGTTTTATTTTTTCTATCTTGTTCGGATTATAAATGCAAGAACCAGGCCTTCATTAGGTTCTCTCTGTAGTGTATGACAGATCATGATTATAATTTTTTAATTCTCAATTTTAAAAAAATTTGAATATTAAATGATGTTGATATAAAGGACTGAATGGTATTTTGAAAAATAACCTGTAACAAGTGGCCTTTGCAGGTATTGATATAATATAGCCGGGCCACCTTTTGGTCACCCATGGGATACTCATCCTAGCAGGAATCAGCAGGGTTGGGCCAATGGCATGCCACATTTCTGACACCTTTCCTTTCTGGTATGCTCTGGAGGGCAGGCGAGATACATCATGTGTTTATTGTTCACCAGGTGAAGGGCAGGGGCAAGCAGTGAATGTTCACTGGTCACCCATTCTCGGGCTGTGGTGGAGAGGAGTTCTAGACACATGGCTGGTCACCTACTTTGCTGACTGTAATTCTCACAAGCATTTGGGGGGATATACCAATCCCCAGGTGCATACTAGTCAAAATCAGCCAAGACCTTTGACTAAAGTTTACTATAAACCTTTGAAATTAGTGTTCGAGACTGAAGAAAGGCTTATTGTATCTCCTGAAGGAATATGCCAAAAGCAGAGGGAGGCAGTGTAGTATCTTGGGAGCTGGAGATTTGGGGTCAGGCCAGAACACTTCCTTGAGTCTCCGACTTACATATCCGACTGCCTGGTGAACATGTCTGTTGTAAGATCCCACAGGCACTACAAATTCATAGTGTCTAAAAGTGACCCATCATCCTCCCAACTCCTCCTCTGCTGTTCTGAAAATTCATAAGGATTAATGAGAGGCTGGGGGCTCCTCAGAAGAAGTACAGTTTAGTCCAGTGGGCTTCCTTTGGTGAGGTCAGCTTGGTTTTGCGTCTAGCCCCATCACTCTCTTACTTAGGAGCTAGATTACTGGGTGGTCTTATGTTTTCTCCAGTTGATTTTTTTTGTTTCTGGCACCTTTTCCAAGTTCACCTTGAGTAGTTTAAAGACTTAGCAGGAGTGGTTCTTCTCCTCCTTATCTGCCACTTTTTCCTCTTCTGCCCCTTTCATGCTCTCTCTTTCCTCCCATAACAACAAGCCCAAGGGTCTTCTTCATTAGGTAGGGCCTCTGCATCTTCTGCCTCATATGGCAATGAATACCTGGGCTTTTGAGCCTTACAGAAGATAAATGCTGCTTTGGGTATAAAGCGAGTCAGGTTCTGGCATAATGAGAGCAGTGGGGAGAAAATGGGCAGGCCTGTCTGAAGAAGGCCTTCTCATCAAACAAGGTAGCATATTGGTTAAAAACACTGACTTTAAACCCGGACTGTTAGAGTTTCCTTCTTTGTTCCAGTACTTACTAGCTGTGTAACTTAGGACAAGTTTCTTAATCTCTTTGTGCCTTCATCTTTTTTTTTTTTGCCATAAAAGTGTAGGATAATAGTAGTGCTCACCTCAATATCTTGTGAGCGTTAAATGGGTTAAAACATCTAAAGTGCTTCTTAGAACCATGTTTGGCACATAGCAAACACTTAATAAACGTTTTAAACACTTAATAATATTATTTTTACTATTATTAGTTGAATTTTAAACTCGTCAGTGAGAGTCAGTGACACTACCTCACTCCTAGTTTCCCCAACATAGTTTCTTTCGTAAAATGGCCTCACAGTGAACATTTTTTGAACTGCCCTTCCTGCAGTGTACTTTCTCATAGTTATTCACTGGTTTGTGAATGGGAAATAGACCATCCAAGCCCTCTCTCATACTGATTTGTGCTCTCTGCTTACTGTCTTCCAACCAGAGTTTATGGTCACCGAGGGAGGGACTGTTTGTTACACGTTGTTTTATTCTCAGTACGTAACATAGTGCTCTGAACATAGCATGTGCTCCAAAAATGTTTTTACATGTGGAGTGAATGTAATTGAGAAGAATCAAGCTGACAAATTAAAAACATTAACTTCCTTAGCTGGTTTGTGTCTTTAGAGAAAGAACGACTCCCCCTTCCTTTCTGCAGCTCTTGCACCATCATCGAACATTTCACACCTTGCACATCTTCTCTGTGAAGCTCTCTAGCAGCAGTGGAAAATGAAGATTTGCACTATCCTTGTGATAAGAGAAAATCAAACAGATGTGGCTTATAAGTGGCCCCTAGTGTTGGAAGAATGTTGCCCTGGCCCAAGAGGAGTGTCCGATACCATCTCAGACCCCTGGTTGCAGAGGCACAGTTAGGATTCCCCATCGTAGAGGATTCTGGCTGCCATTTGGTGAGCACAAAGCCTGGTGAGATAATTGTGATTGCCTTTTAGTCTTTCTGAATTGGATTGTGATTGCCTTTTAGTCTTTCTGAAGTTGGCAATCGTTTGAGATAATTTTGCATTGCTCCTCAACTTTTCTCTGTTCCCTGGTAGTGCTTCTTTCCAGAAGATTATTGCTTAGGATTTGAAGATTGCTTCTTTCCTAGGTTCTTGGGATATATGAGAACAGAATGCATCAAACATTAACAGCCTACTTGTTACTGGCAAAGCCAACATTGGAGCACTTGGTGTATTTGTCCTTATGGTGAGAGAGCCCAGGTGGAAAGAAAAGGAAAAAAATCATAGCAGCAGCGGCAGCTAGCACTTACTCTGTACACTGACTTTTTAAGTGCTTTACAGGTAGCTGCTTATTTAACTCATATAACACTCCTGTAATACAGGTATTTTTATTGACCCCATCTTAAGGATGATGAAACTGAGGCATAGACAGATGTTAAACTGAGTCATGACATGCTTTTTGTCCTGCAGCTAGTAATGAGTGGTACCTCAATGTGGATCTAGGCAGTCTTCCTCCAGAGTCCATGCTCTTGCCCACTAAGCTTGGCTGTTCCTTACTTTGGAAGCCAATAGTCCTCAGTTTCCAGATCACTCCACTTCAAAAGCCTTTTTGGCACTCAGTCTCTGTGGGGATAGAGATGGGAAGTGGTGTAGAAGAGACAGACCTGGATAGTGTTCATCGAACTAAATTTAATCCCTCAAGAGATCAGTGGTGAGGAAAAACTGAGACACACTAAAGCAGTCTACCTCAGCAAGTATTGTTTCCTGCATTTAACATATTCACTAAAATACATGGACAGTGCAGAGCTGGTCACAGTTCTTTAGGGGACCAATGAATCTGCAAAAAGAAGACTTTGCCTTTCACATTCTTAAATGTTAGCTATGCACAGAGCTTGAGTAAACCAACCTCCATGGGTTTATAACCATGGAAAGAGGACTTGGGGTTTTGTCCGACCTTTGGCTGCCTTTTTCAGTCTTACTTGGAAGCCTACCTTTGGCTGCCTTTTTCAGTCTTACTTGGAAGCCTGT